AGAAGGCATATGGTTCTTTTTTAAAAAAAAAAAAAGTAACTGATTTGATGGGGCTGGGGTTGTAGCTCAGTTGTAGAACACTTGCCTAGCACCTGTGAGGCACTGGGTTTAATTCTTAGCACCCAAATATAAACAAATGAATAAAAATAAAGGTCCATTGACAACTAAAAAATATTTTAAAAAAAGTAATGGATTTGAGTTAGTTTCCAAGAAACTAGGAATCATTTACCCTTTCATCCTCYACAGGATGAAAATCATGCAGGGATTTTCTTGGTTAATAACTTTTCTAAGTATTAGGGAATCTTGATAACTTTTCCAGTTATTTAGGTTCTTGGCTTGTCCTCACCGAACCTTCTTGTAATGGGAGATGTATACTTTTGGGAGTTTTGGCTTGGCTCTTCACTTGCCTGCTTTTGTTACACACATGAATCTCAAACTGAAGGATTCAGACAACCCTATTTTTATATTTATAAAGGCAAAACCTCCATAAGGCATATCCCTCTCTTTATGTGAATTTCCAAAAGATTAGATATAATATCAGCTCTGTTTATATATTTGCTGATGATTATGAAATTCTTTGAACATAAATTTCCAAAAGGTTTCTTTGTGATAAATCCTGGAATTAGGATAGTTTAGACAGGGTTTCAGTAACAACCATGAAATCTGAGACTTAACATTATTAAATTATCATCTCTTCCACATTATGGTCAAGTGCAGGTTAAGTGGCTCTCCTAAAGCAGCTCTTCTCCAAATCCTGTCATAGGAACTAAGCCTCATCCATCTTGCAGCTATGCCATCGCCATCTGGAGCATTGTGGCATCCAGCTTTGTCACAGAGAGAGAGCTTGGATAATCATGCAGGGATTTTAATGGTCACAGTAGAGGGGCAGACATCTCTTCCCCTCTCTCATAAGCCATAATCCAATCTCCTGGCTATAACCTGACTGTGGGGGAAGGTGAAAACTGTGGTCTTCTGTACCAGGAAGGGAAAAATGAAATGGCTTTTGGTGGATACACAGCATTATTTCTGCCACAGTTCCCTTCTCTGACCTCACTCTTGGCTCCTTTACCACCTTTCAATAGTCTTGCTGTTCTCTGGCTCTTAGGAGTTCARCATCTTTAAGACTTATCCTTGGCCCTTACATTTTGAGTAAAATTCCATTCAGCCCTATTCTAGAGTTCATGATCTCTTCACTTATCTGGTGGTGTAAGGTGACCATGAAGGTCCAGAGGGAGTGGGTTCAAGAGTTTCTTTGTTCCAGTTCTTCCACTCTCTTCCACTTGGCTTTGAACTTTCATCCTATACTTATCCCTTTACTCCCAAAGGTCATCCATTTTTCACTGAGTAACCTGCATGAGAAGTATGGTAGTAGCCTCCATATATAGATTTTCTGTAACTTAAATAATTGAAAAGGTGTTTAGAAGTTTACATGTTCAGAAACTCCCTTTCAGAAGTTCCTGCAAATTGATCGACTCTTCTAAACCAAACACTTAAATGGTAAATGAAAAATTTCAATTTATGTTTAGGTCAATAATTACTAAATATTATCAGTACTGGTATTTTAGTCAGTTTTTATTTATTTGTTTATTTTATTTTTATTTTTTTGTGATGCTGGGGACTGAACCCAGGACCTTATGCACATGAGGCAAGCACTTTACCAATGGAGCTGTATCCCCAGCCCTCAGCCAGCTTTTTCTTTGCTGTGACCAAAACACCTGACAAGAACAATTAGAGGAGGAAAAGGTTATTTGGGCTCATGATTTCAGAGTTCCAGTCCCTAGATGGCTGACTCCTTTGCTCTGGGCCCCAGGGAGGCAGAACTCCATGGTGAAAAGGCCCAGCAGAGGGAAGCAGCTGAGAGCACAGCAATCAGGGAGCAGAGGGAGCGCCACTCACCAGGGACACAATACAAGCCTCAAASTCACACCCTCCAGTGACTTTTCAGCTCCAGTCACACCCTATCTACCTTCAGTTACCATCCAATTAATCCATATCAATGGGTTAATGCACTCACCGATTAGGTTACCACTCTCATAATCTGATCATTTCACCTCTGAAAAAYTCTTGCATTGCCTCACAGATGATCATTTGGAGGACATCTCATAGCTGAACCAGAACAATTGYCACATCAGAACATTCTGTTTCTAGCAGGAGATTGTATGAGGCAAACTACTGAGGTGTCAGTGTCTGTCACAGGTTCCTTGAAAAGTAGCTGTTCTTCTTCTTTAAGATTTTTAAAAGAGAATAAAATCATGACATTTGCAGGTAAATGGATGGCGTTGGAGAAGATAATGTCAAGTGAAATTAGTCAATCCCCCCCAAAACAAATGCTGAATGTTTCCTTTGATATAAAGAGGCTGATTCATAGTGGGATAGGGAGGGGAAGAGCATGGGAGGAATAGATGAATTCTAGATAGGGCAGAGGGGTGGGAGGGAAAGGTAGTGGGCAGGGGATTAGCAAGGATGGTGGAATGTGATGGACATCATTATCCAAAGTACATGTATGAAGACACGAATTGGGTGTCAACCTACTTTATATACAAACAGAGATATGAAAAACTGTGGTATATATGTGTAATAATATTGTAATGCAAAAAAACCAAAGTACATGTATAAAGACATGAATTGACATGTACTTTACATACAAAGATATGAAAAACTGTGCTTTATATGTGTAATAAGAATTGTAATGTATTCCACTGTTGTGTATTTAAAAAAATAAAATCAATTAAATAAAAAAAAAGATTCTTAAATTCAGGCTGGGGTTGTAGCTCAGTGGTAGAGCACTTGTCTAGCATGTGTGAGGCACTGGGTTCGATCCTCAGCACCACATAAAAAGAAATAAATGAAATAAAGGTCCAAAAATTTCTCAAATTCAAGAGTTAATAGACATAGGTATGGCCATAAGTGAAATAATCCCTTTAAAATGGCAAAATAGGATTATTAAAATGACCTTTATCAGATTTGATGACAAATGTTTTGACTGCCATTATCTACTCTTCTAACCACAAGCAAAAATAGTGGTCTAAAATAACTTTGTTTCCAACTCCTAGGCCTGCACCAGCAATTGTGTGGTTGAGAATTTTGAAAACAAGAAATTACTGGTAGAGAGATGCAGTTAGATCCAGTTAGGGAAACCTCTCTGCTCTTGCTGTTGCCAATGCTTTCCTCAGAGAGGTGTTATCATCCAGGGCCCTGTTTATGTGCATCCACGGTGCTGGTAGTTGACTTAGGAACTGGCAGTGAAAGAGTTTCTGTACCCTGTCAGGCATTCCTATGAATATAGAGTTAGTAATGTCATTACTTTTACCAGTACTTAAATTTTTAAAAGGGAATTAATAGATATACTATAATTTAAGTTTTGAATGTAGACAGTTGTCAGTCAGTACACATTTGATTTATAATAGGAATTGTGCAAATTCAGTAGGAATTGGGGAATTCAATAGGAAAATATGACTSAGTATAAGCATCTACTGTATTTCTGTGTTGTGAAGGTTGCCCTCTGGTCATACACTTGAGGTTCTCATTTGACTGCTGACTGGCTCTAAGCTACCCCTTTGCAACCCTCCTCACTGGATCCTGATAGAATGCATTAGGTGCAGCTCCCAAAATGATGCAAAACCAGAGTCCTCCCATTCTTYGGTTAAAGAAGAATGCCAAGGTTTCCTAATGTGGCAAAATTATAGAAAGTCAGAATTTCAGAACRGGAGGGACCTGAGGAATCTTCGGTTGTATTCTTTTGTTTTTTGCAAAGGGAAGCAAAGACCTAAATTTAGGATACATCAGTGGCTCCAAGTGGGACATACTGACCTCCGTCATTACCATTAGAATTAAATGAGTTAATGCCTCTGTAGCCCTCAGAACAGTACCTGGACACAGCAAGTGGTCAATAAAAGCCATCATGTGTTATCATTATTCCTAGTGGCAGACCCAAAAAGGAACACAGGTGCCCCTAATTCAGRGCTCTTTAGGAGATACAAATTTTATATTTCACACATTGTTCAGGGAACAACATTTTTAGAATTTGAGTTAAAGTCTCAGTAGTTATAGAGCCACAGTGCCTACTACTGGATACTTAGTGTTGATTTCTGGGCTAAGCACTTAATATTCATGGATTCATTTAATCCTCCCAGTGTTCTATGAGATTCACACTTTTTATTTTCCCCATTTGACACAAGTTGGGAACTTGCCCATGGACTTACCACCAATAATGAGGCTGGGTGAGATTTAAGCCTGCTCTCTCTCACTTCAAAGTCTATATTCTTTACCATTATTTTTCACTAGGAGTTGCCAAACTACAGCTCACAGGCTAAATACAGACCTACCTATTTTTTTTTTTTTATAGTCTGTATTCTAAGAATGGTTTTTTTATTTAAAAAAATTTTTTAAATGGTTGAAAAAATCTAAAGATGAATATTTCCTTACACATCAAAAATAGCATGAAATTAGAATTTCAGTGTTCACAGATAAAGTTTTTTTTTGTAATACAGTCACAACCGTTCATTTGTGTATTGCCTGTGGCTACCTGTATGACATGGTGGCAGAGCTGAGTGRTTGTCAGAGATACCGGGTGGCTGGCAAAGCCTGAAATCATGATTATCTGACCTTTATTGAAAAACAAAACTTGCCAGTTCTTGTTCTATGTTCTTCTTCACTGGTTAGGTTTTATGAAATTTCAATTATTTGAATATAATTGTGGGATTTTTKGGGGGAGGGCGGGGGTTCCTGTCTCCTCCTACTCCTTGCAGTTTAGTTTGTTCAATTTTCATTGACATATCAAATGAATCACCCTTCAGTTGTCTGTGTCTTGTCTTTTTAAGCAGACTGAAGACCGATTTGTTTCTGGATGGTGTTTGCAACTTGGTGGTGACCTGTCTTTATACTACCGGTGGATTGTGACCATTGGTGCTTTGCCCCCCTGTGTTCATTTATTGAGCTGGCTATTTTTATACTTCCAGGGTTTCAGATGCAGAAATCACTCTATTTTCTTTCCTTTATAGTGGTTTGCTGTCTTCTGATTACGTGGAGATTCACTATGAAAATGGGAAGCCACAGTACTCAAAGGTATGGTTTAAAGCTTTGGGACAGYCTGTGTAAGCACACCCCTCACAGGACAGGCCCCTGCACCCCAGATTGCTTGGTGTGTCTGTCAACGAAAACACCTGGCCTCCTATGCAAGGTTACTGTGTTTCAAGGAGAAATTCATTACAACATACAAATATTTGAGGTAACATTAGAAATTCTATAAATCTGGAACAATATGGAAATGTTTATTGTTTAGTCATGCATACAGTATCTTATGTAATGGTATAAAGGGCTGAACTTTCCAGATCAACACCTCAGTCCAAATTAGGCATCCCTTATTTCAAATGCTTAGCATTTTGGGGTTTGGATTTAAAAAAAGTTTCACAATGTTTTTGTAATTATAATGAGATATTTTTGTGATGGGACCCAAATCTAAACATGAAATTCATTTATATTTCATACGCATAGCCTGAATATAATTTTATATAACATTTAAAATAATTTTGTGCACGAATCTCATAGTGTAAGATTTTCTACTTGTGGTGTCATGTTAGCGCTTAAAAAGTTTTTCGAGTGTTTTGGATTTCAGTTTTTGAGATTGGAGATGCTCAATTAGGCTCTTATAGTCACAGCATCTGAATTATAAGAATAGATGGGCTCTTAGAATGACTATTAAGTAAAGTTACTTTGGTGCCCAAGAAGGGGAGAGGACAAGAAGAGGAAATGAGACTTAAGGAGCACTCTCTTCATAATCTTCACAGCAGTCCTACGGGGGTGGATATTATTACTCTTGTTGTACGGAGGAAGAAACTGAGGCAGAGAGAGGGTAAAGAAACCTTCTCAAGGTCATTAAACATTGTCATATAAAGGTATTTGATTTCCTTCAGTTGGAGGTTAAACTTCCTTCTCTTCATGGAGGATCAATGAAAAGAAAGAGGGCTGAAATTAAAGCAAGAGAGAGATCATTTTTAAGTAAAAAACACAGTGATCTCCACCAGTCTCGGTGAAAGTCTGTGGAATGGCTACAGAAAGGGACTCTGATTTGGGTAGTGCCACTGAGCTTAGCAGTATCCATCAATACCATTGACATAGGAGAGGAAATGGAACAAAGCAAAGTGGGGAAATATCATTGATTTTGCTCTTTTCTAGATTGCTAATGAGTGTCAGCATAAAAGTGGCATCTTTCATGTGTGGACTTGCCAAGCTGTGCAGCAGGGAGCATGGGGATCCTCAGTCTGTAGCCTCTCAGCAAATATTTATGGGTGGCCTTAATTGTAAATACTGCCCAGGGGCCATGGTATTTCTGAGGATCTATAACTGTCCAATTAACAGTGGGCACATTTGTAATTTGAAGTGTGTTTTAGTCTTTGAATTGTATGCCACAGATTCTGTTATTATTACTATTCATCAGTTCTTGTCTTAGGCTGCATCTTGGGGGTTTGTTGAATGGCCCTAAAAGTTAATGCTGTGGAAAGTGAGCAGCAATGCTAAATCAAGCGCAGGAATGGTGCTTCCTGGCATTTGTACAAACCAAAGCTTCTGTCAGCTGTGCCAGTGCCCTGAACACTKCGGATGCTGAATCATGAGTCTGGAGTAGACAAGATTGCATGAGAACTTTATAGACTCAGCAAATGAGCAACCTTTGCATCCTGCAGTAACCTAATCTAAACTTCTCACCAAGAAGTTCAGTCGATTTTTTTTTCCTTTTTTAAAGAAGCAGAATAGCTAATTGGCCTCCAGAAGTCATTTGAGGTCCTCAAAGGAAGCCTTATCATTACTAACACACTCCAGGCTTCCTGTTGATTGTAACTAAAATTTAAAACAGAGGATGGCAAAAGAAAACATGTTCACTGCAGTTTGTTTTTGTGTTTATTCCTTTTTTCTCACTATGACTCATTTTCTCCAAATAGCTCTCTGACGTTCACAGCCTAGTTGTACTAGTGCAGTGGGTAAGGTTGCTGAGAAACCAAGCAAGATACCTGGACATAAAATATGAGATGTAAGGTTACTGAAAAATTCCATTGGGTAAGATCCAATGGTGATGGGCTGGACAGATGTTTTATCAGGAAGTCCAGTGGCAACAGGGTGAACATCTGCACCTCTGACCCACATAGTACATCCAGTACCTTRTCAGGAAGTATCACCTCCTATCCCTTAGGATACTTTGTCCGGAAGCTGATGCCTGGATAAATTCTTCCCTCTCCATGGTTCTCTGGTCAGTACCAGTAGGGAGAAGGGTTTTATATTAATTTGCTTAGTTCCTTATATGACCAGCATCCCAAGGAGCAACTATCTTGGCTTGCGTGCAAGAAAGCAGCTTTCCACAGTTAACACTAACTTGCCCTAATTCCCAGCACACATGAGAGAAAGTCAGTACCCTTCAAGATAATACGTATCTTGACATTCTGGCCCAGATGTCCTCTCATTGTTTCCTTAACCAGGCAAGTTTTTTGGGAACAGAAAGGGGCATTCAGGGACATGTTCTTTTACTGTCTCCCTTTTTTCAAGAATTACACAAGCTTRCTTCATGGATAATGAGTTAATGGTAAATGCCTGTTTTTTTATGTGTCTATGTTTATATACCCCTGCAAACCTCAAGATGATATGGTACACACAATTCTGTGGCAAGATTTAAAAGTTCTAATGATAGTATAAATACTTTGGCATGCATTAACTATCTTGTAGACCTTCACTTTTTAAAACTGCATACCATTCTTTTAAATTAGTTTGTTATAATTTGTTTGAAAATCCCATGGTCATTGACATTTAAATTGTTGCTAATCTTTCACTCCAACCCAAAGGAGAGAACACATCCTTAATACTTCCTGTAGAATTAATTCTGAGAATTGGATTTTCCGGGTCGCAGAGTTTGTTCAATTTTTGGAAGGCTTTGGTACAAAGAGGCAGTTTTTCTTCCTGAAAGTTTATAGAAATGCACATTCCCACTAGCATTGCATACATGTTTTTAGAGCCATTTTGCAGTGAACTTTATARTGATTACTTTCCATGTTGTTTAAGAAAACCTTTATACAGAGTACCAGAAAGACAAATTAGTATGTAAGAATGGCTAGGTTCAACTTGTACACATTATATAATCCTTCCTTCCAAAGATCACCAAAGTGTACACACATAAAGCACACCTGCCTACCCCCACACACCGTGTACTGTTCACAAGGTGAGAGAAGAATGGAAACACAGACACTTAGGATATTCTGGGAATTAATTGCAAACAAATGCCACATCCACCCTTGGAAGAGGGTTGTCTAGTTTTTCCCATTTCCTCTCTGTCAAGCCCTACTTCCCACTTGTATCTACGAAGAGGATAATGTCTTGGCTTTTACCTTTATTCAATGAAAGTGGGATAAAAAGATCCCTTTCCAAGTGACACAAATACAGGAACTAGAAAGGTAAAAAAATATATATTTACGTACATAATATAAGTGCCAGGTGTCAGTTGATGCATATGGAAGAACATTTTTCCTGTTCCCAACTCAGTACTTTTTTTWAAAAAAAATATTTATTATTTAGTTGTACACAATACCTTTATTTTATTTATTTTTATGTGGTGCGGAGGATCGAACCCAGGGCCTCGCACGTGCTAGGTGAGTGCTCTACCGCAGAACTACAACCCCAGTCCCTCAGCAGTACTTTTTGAGTTCGCACTGCAGCACTTTGTACTTGGTTTGCAATAAAACAACTTTTCCTACAAATTTAAAAAATAACTTAGTTATCTTTTGTTTGAACAAAATTATTGAGATCTAATTTGCATGCGGTTAAGTATATCATTAAATTGGTTTTAGTATATTTACAAAACTGTGCATCCATCAACATAATGTAATTTTAGAACATTTTCTTCRCCCAACAAAGAAATACTCCACTTATTAACAGTCATATCCTATCTTCTCTCTCACCAGCCTTAGGTAACTACTAAGCCACTTTTGTATATCTATGGATTACCTCTTTTGGATAGAAACAAAATCTATGTAACGTGTTGTTTTGTGATTGATTTCTTTTTTTTTTTCCAGCTTTATTGAAGTGTAATTGAAAAAATAGGACTTAAATATAATTAGTTACACAAGTTAGATTTTATATATGAGTTGTATACATTTAATTTGTACATACCACTGTTTTGATATACAATGTGAAATGATCACTACACTCAAGCTAATTAACATCTATCACTTTATATATTTATTTATTTTTGTAGTGAGAACATTTAAATCTATCCTCCTAGCACATTCAAGATGCTATGATTAATGTAGAAACCGGTCTGCTCATTGCATCTCTCGATGGGATCTCTAAAATTCACTCCATCTAGAAACTGCTCCATCTTCAGATGGGATCTCTGGAATCCATTCACCTTGCATAACTGAAACTTCGTACCCTTTGAACAATGTCTTTGTTTTTCCTTTTCCCCAACATTCTACTCTTTGCTTCTAGGAGTTCTGATTACTTAWGATTCCACATTAGGAGAGATTGTGTAGTGTTTGTCTTTCTATGCCTGGCTTCTTTCAATTACCACAGTGTCCCCCAGATTCATCTGTGTCATCACAAATGGCAGGATTTCCTTCTTTTTTTTTWAAACACAGAATAATATGCCATTATATGTACATTTTTTGTTATTTGTTCGGCCCTCGATAGGCTGTTTTGCTGTTTTGACTTTTGTGAACAATGCTGCAGTGAATGTGACGGTGAAGTTATCTCTTTGAGATGCAGATTTCATTTTCTTCTTATTTTTAACTTTTTGAGGAAACTTTATACTGTTTTCCACAATGGCTCTGCCAATTCTTATTTTTACCAACTGTTTACGGAGATTGCTGTTCTCTACATTCTCCCCACACTTCTTTAAAAAAATTTTTTTTAAATGATAGACATCCTGACAGATGTTAGATGATATCTTATTATTTAAATTTGCATTTCCCTAATAATTAGGGATGCTGAATACCTTTTCATGTACCCATTGGCCACTTTATGTCTTCTTTTGAAAAATGTCTATTCAAATCATTTGCCTATTTTTAACTTGGGTTATTAGTTTTCTT